TAACTTGGTAGCCCAGGCTGGCCTCGAACTCACAGAGATCCACCTGGCTCTGCCTCCCAAGTGCTGGGATTAAAGGCGTGCGCCACCACCGCCCGGCCCCTGAGGAAGCATCTTTAATTCCTGCTACCTTGCTTCTTTCTGTTTACCAAGTGCAACCTCATATCATGAGTAAATAATTTGATTCTTCCTTAAGTTGTTTTCTTCAAGGTATTTTATCACACTAATATGAAATGAAACTAATTAACTAAAGATTAACTAAGTATATACATAAGCGTATGCACACATACATGTGCACATACACACAAATGTATATATAAATATATATAGCCTTCATGGTATAAGAAAATACTATGTAACCTGCCATGGATGGGAAGCATTCAAAAGTCCTATCTAGCTACAACACCTATGAAACAAAATAATGCTGTGGATATCGCTATATGTAAATAAATTTGATTGGCTGATAGACAGACAGGAAGTATAGGCAGGACTAACAGAGAGGAGAATTGAGAGAACAGGAAGGGAAGGGAGAGATTGCCTGGAGCTGCTGCCAGGATAAGCAAAATGTAAGGTACCAGTAAGCCGAGCCACATGGCAAAGTATAGATTAATAGAAATGGGCTGAATATAAGAGTGAGAGCTAGACAATGATAGTCCTGAGCTAATGGCCAAGCAGTTTAAATAATGTAAGAGTCTGTGTGTTTATTTTATAAGTGAGCTCTGGGACTGGTGGGAAAGATACAGCGCCCACCTCCAGCAGGAAGTAGTAAGAGAAGCTATGTCCAAATTCCCAAATATACCAAGCTGGCTCTAGAGATGGAATTGGCTCACTCCCCCTCTAAACCCAGACATATTGCTTTAAAAAAATGGTTAAGAGATTCTTGTGTCCCGAATCAGAAGAGCCCTCTGGGGTGGGACAGAGAAAAACCAATATTTTTATTTAAAACAGGTTGATTATAAATACAATCTCTTTCTAAAGAAAAAAAGGGGATAGTTTAGATATGATAGGATGAAAGGGTAGATTAATGAACCTGCTTTTAAAGAGTAGCAACTTGTTTAAAATGTTTTACATTGTTATAGATTTTAGTTTATTGATACAAATTTAAACTTAATTTTGTTATACTGTATATATATATATATATATATATATATTTCTATTCTTGTGTGAGGTATTATGTTTATGTAACTCATTTAAAATTTTAATGGATAATTAAAAAATAGATTAATAATTAGTCATCTATGATAATCATATTTGTAGACATGTTAGTTAAGTCTTCTAGGTATATACAGATATATTTCAGATAGATAGGTAGTCTTCAAACACTTCAAAGACCTA